GACAATACTTTTATCCGCAACGTGTTTCTACGAAGTTTAGCTCCCTTCCGTGATTGCTATTCTCTCAGTGCTTATCTTTATGAGATGCCGTAGGAGTTAATCACGGTTTCCACTTAAGTCGCGTTTTTCGTTTGTTTTTCGATTTTCCACCCGTGTAATAAAAAAAGGAGTGTCTTTAGTCTTAATAGCGTCCTTCCGCGCTGACGTCAGCGGCTCTAAAGTTGACTGAAAAAGCCATCCTGAGTCGGTTGCAGTCAATCACCGCACTTCCTCACAACCCCCTTCAGTTCGCATATTAACCAAATGGATCTACATTGGACGCCGTATCCAGTCTACTGCATTTTATCAGCAAGTTATTGAAGCATTCGTCCAAGTCTGTCCGTTGTGTTTCTCTTGACTGTTCGTCTGCGTTTGATTCTGTTTCCCGATCATCCCTTCTCTTCAAACTTGAATCTTTTGGCACTCCAAAACAACTGCTCTCATGGCTTGTTGACTATTTCACAGAGAGGGTTCATTGCACCAAATTAGGAAGGAGGACATCAAAACCTCTTGTTAATGATTATGTTCTTTAAGGTGCTGTTCTATCTCCATATCTCTATTCTGCCTTTATTAATGATCTTTCGGTCCCACCCCCTGTGCACATCCAAAGGTATGCTGATGACGCTGTTTTGTGTCAGTTTCATCTCCTTCGGAATTTCATTCTTTTACTGGAAATCTATCCCAAATCCAACAGTCTTCTGACCGATCTGGTCTCAGTCGTAACATATCTAAGTGCGTAGAGCGTATATTCAATCTTTCTCGTTCCTCATTTCCAACGGACTCTGCTACCCTTAACGGTAAACCTGTATCTAGAATGACCTCAGTCAACTACCTGGGTGTCACCATCGACAGCCATCTTCATTGATCTACACATATTTACAACTGTATGGTAAAACTGAGACGCCTATCTTTTCAGGTACGCGAACATAGGCAATTCCGAACTCCACCGTCAGTTCTGTCATCTTTCGTTCATCAGTCCGCTTTACTCATTCTACTCCATTGCTCCCCCGTAGTGTTTCCCGGTCTTTTAAAACAAGACTTCGAAACAGTTCGCCGTGGTTTGTTGATCATCAGACGTGCATCATTAATTCCGATCGATTCATTAATCACAGAATTCATTGATGATCACATCAACCCTTGTTTTAAATTTGCCCATAAGTTTCTAGATGACCCTCTCCATCCACTACATCCTGATCTATCGTCATGTCTTTCCCATCTGTCCACACGCCCCTCCTTTCGGCGTCTACCTTCTCGCATTAACATTTATAAAAATTCCCCTGTACCCTACCTGGCCCGACTCGTTACCAAAAAGGAACAGGTCGCAAAAGTTTTGTACATGAAACAACTATCGATATTCTTTACCTTTCGTTTTTGTTATTATTATTATTTCATTCTGCGTGACGAACAGTGTACATTTTTCACTGAAATGTAAGCATATATGCTTACACAAGTTATACAAACACAACGTTGTTTAAGACATTTTCAGCTTGTTCTCGGTAACGGAGATATTTCGTATGCAAGAACCCATCGAACAAACAAACTAGAACAATACCGGTAACTTAAAAGCGTGTATCTCTCACCAGTTATGCAGGAATCAAGCGATTCAAGTGGATGTCACTAAGGTGACCAGGGTTTCAAGTTACGAGCTTTAACTCTACTATAGCAACTTGGTGAGCAACAGTTCCCCAGTCACCTAGCTCTAGTTCGCGCTGTGACTTATATGATTCACTAATCAAACTTCAAGGATTTCTGTTACCGGTTCTCATAATCAATGGTTTACTGTACCTTTGTACTCGAAGACAATACTGCACCCAGTCATTTAAAATGACCCTTTTAAGTGGAAAGGCCGATGGGCCAATTAAAGTCTAGTTCATTGGTCATCCACCCTTTTTCACCTTTCCCAATCCTGATGTATCACGAAAAGCTACGCTCATGCTGTTTTTTTGCTTGATAGGCTGGTGCCGACGCGATGTTAGTGCTGCTTGGCGAAACAAGACTGGATCGTCCAGGTTGTATTGAACATTTGGCTACACTGTTCGCCGGCTACAGTTCCTGTGCTCCAGTTGCGTTCGTCCTTACTGGAAATTTCCTTAGTCCAGATTCTACCGGCCGAAGCTACTATGAGCGTGTAAGTTGGTCTTATGAATACCTCCCACGGGGCGTCAGAGTTTGTGGTTCAAATGATCATATGAGTGACCCAAGGTTTTATGTAACCTTCACCTATCTTCAGGAGTTTTGTTCCCATAACACCACTGAGGCCTAACTTACAGTTTTCTGGATCACACAGCAGTCTTTCTATTGGCCGCTTCGCCCTTGAAAAATGACCTATACCATTGTGTTCAACTCAAAAAAGATGACAAGAAAAAAAAACTTGTGCTATGAAATTTCACGATGAAATTCATGCTTAGTCTAGTGCAACGAAAATCTCCTTCATTGAAACATGGCTTCGTGAGGTTCAAGGTTCAAACTGCTTTGAGATTAAATGGTCAGGAATTGGTTACGGTGGATTGCTTTTTCTACATGGGTATTTGCTTGACCAATGACGGTAGCACAACAAAGAAGATAGGCACAGGCATTTTCAAGGTTCAGTCAGCTTACACAGGGCTGAAATACCTTTGGCGTAAACGAGATATTTCACTGAAGTGGGGAGGTCACATGTGCTTCGCCACTGTGTCCTTCGTTCTGCTTTACAGTTGTGAGCGCTGGAACTTGTGAGCAGATCTATCGACATGAAGTTTTCGACTGTCTTCGCTTACCTAGTTGGGCTCCCGTGCGATGGAGCGAACTAGTTAGTAATCTGGTGGTAAATTATAGTCTGTTCCTGAGTGTATCTGGGATAAATTTGCTAGAGCATCGAATTCGGATTAGTAGGCTTCGCTGGTTAACACACGTATTGCGTGTACCAACTGTAGCCTATCTCACCGCGCCTTATTTGCAGTTACGGCTCAAAGTTAGGGGAGACCATGTAGAGATAAACATTTAACGTTGAAACGAACCATGGACAAGTGTATAGAGCTTACAGGTAGGGTAGGTGTTTCCCATTTTTAATAAAATGTAACAGACCGTTACTTTTAGAACAAAGCGTCTTATATAGACGAAAGCGTGAATTTAAATCGCTTAGCAATCAATAATGCTGGTGCCAAATACCAGTTTATGGAAAACGAATTTTAACCGATCTACGAATTGATCACCAAGCGGTAATATGCCACGCATAGAGAACAGAGTTTGAATTGTTTTGATTAACGGTAGTTTTCAGTGCATGTGCACCAACCTTGAGGTGATTAAAAACCAGAGTCACAGTGTATTGAGCACAACCTGCTACTACGTCATCGGCGGTAGTTATCTTTATATAGACAAATCGCTTCCCGGATAAGCCCCTTCTCGGTAGCCTTTCTTTTCAACTGAATAGGCGCTTCGAAACTAGTGAACTATATATATATATATATATATATATATATATATATATAATCACCGGTTTGGGGCATGGTGCCCACAGAACAACAGAAATAACAGAAGATGAGAAGATTGGTTTACAGAACAGGGCAACATCGATAGGAAACGGTTACAGTAGACCAAGAATGACAATGATTTTTGTTCGCTTCGCGGGCCTTATGAAATAAACTTTTCAGGTCCATGTATAAAAATGCGCATAAACGGAGCGTTGCCTTCACTTTCTTACCATTCCTTCCTATTCAATACGATTATGAAGTCTGAATGTTTTCTGATCGAAAAATAGTGCCCCACAGAGGTTTGGATCGTACTAGTCATAAAACATAAAACGTAGCAGTAGTGATTCTAATTAAAATAACGAAATAAAAAACTACGGTTGCAGTTATCCTTTGCAATCATCTCGCGGAATACTGCGCGTATTCTGTTGTTTCGCGAAATTACACTTTCAAATGTCCTGTTCCAATTTGCCAACCACCAACCTCCCAAAATCAGGATGATGGTTGTATTCAAGGATGTACAACTGCGTTATATTACAAGGCGACTTCACCTTGAAGGTTCTAGAAACTACGCGCGGTAACCGATATCAGAACGTTACAGGGTGGAGTTGATGAATAAGATTCAGCCAATTTTGGACTAACATAACTGCCTGTATATTCCGGCACATGTTCCGAATTCTCTCCAATCTTCGGTGGCTATTCGGGCAGCTATATCTCACCTGGTGGACGTGTCACATTTAAACTGTCGGCACGCATACAGAAGGCTCGGTTGACAATGGCCAACTTGAGACACCTGTGGCCCCGCCTCGACATCCGGTTACAGCAGTTCAGAGACTTGGCCACTACGGGAACAGAGTAAAAATGGATTGTCGGTGTTCAAACATCACTGTCTACGCCGCATTGCACGTGTCTGGTTGGAAGACTTATTGTGAAATTAGGCGCAGAGTTTTAGATAACTACTGTCGTTCACTGGAACAAGTGGTCAATCTACATAGACTGCACTGGCCGGGACATGTCACCAAATAGGTTGCCACGGCGCATGATGTTTGCCGAAAAAAGCAGCGGATGGATAAAGGTCAAGAACAGTTAAATCAGTGTCATGTGATGACGGGCCACAAAGTGATGGCGATGTACTACCGGAGAAATCAGGGAGGGAAAACACTGGATCTGGAGTCTGGGAAAACATTATTTAAAAAAACTTATTAGGTTGTGAGATATGGGTTTGGCACACAAACTGGTTAAAACCGATTACCGGCAAAGTTGCTCTAAATTATGAACCCAAACCATTATTTTCACTGGACGAACGATTTCCAAGGCTTTGTCCTGTCGCTACGGGTTCATGTCGAATCGCGTACGGATTTTCTTTCAAACTCGCACTACTTGGGACATTGGAATTTGGTATCGCCCTGTAGTTAGTGAAGAATTTACAAGACATCTCCTGTGGCACACTCTTCTTTGGTCTTTTGAAGTGCTCGCTTGAAAGCGCTCACCAAGCTTTCGGCTTGGCTGTTTGACTGTGGGTGATGAAGAGACGGGCGGACCTGCTTAATACCAGATCCTTAACAGAATGCAGCTAATGAGAATCGACCGCTATTGTCGCTCACCAATGTCTCTGGAGAACGAAACCTGTTAAAGATTCTAAGGAGGACATTGATGATGGGCCCCTACCTGGTTGTTCGTTGTGTTTTGCCATTAGCGTGTGCATATCCTATTCCATTGGCACAGGTATGATCGTGTCCTCTGACTGTGAGGGCGAAAGACCATTTACGTGGTCAATGTTTGACGTGGATTGGGACCACATATATAAATCGTACCTCAGCAAAATAGCGACCCAACGCTGCAGTTGTTTTTGAGGGGTATACCTGAACCCCTCTCTAGGACCCGAAAACGGCGACCAGCGGTTTGTGATCAGCCAAGAGTGAAGTGGCGGCCCTATAACATCTTGTGAGACTTTTTCACTGCACAGATGATGGTAAGGGTATCTTTTTTAATTTGACCGTAGTTGCGTGCGGTTGGCGTCAGGGACTGCGCAACTTCTTTCTCTTATCTGGGAACACGTGCAAAATGAAAGCGCCAACACCGTGGTTTAAAGAGGTTGACTTTTTGATCTAGTGGGTGTCTGGGATTGCCTAAAACTCTGCTGCTAACTTGTCCGGTAGCATCACCAAACTCGAGCAATGCGGCGTAGACAAGGGCGTTCGCAGAGTGAAACCGAAAGCTAAACGAACCCATTGTCCTAACAAAAATTACACTATAAAGGCGCAAACCGAACACCAAACAGAGCTGCACTAACGCTGAACCTATACGGAAAGCCTTGAAAGATTATCTATTTGCACTTCAGCTGTACCATATGGCCTGCGTATCCAAAATCAGGCAGTCGAACACCTGGGAGCCTATTGTTGCCGCCATCCCCGCTTGAGGACAGGACTGTCTCAAAAGTTATCTACAAAGTTTAATAGAAAAGGAAAGAGAAGGCAACTCCGACAAACACTACTGTTCGTGTTGGACTCGGGTAAAAGAGAAACGTAAGATGGCGCTGCTTCGGCTATCGGCATAAAGCTCCCGTAACAGTGAAGTAAACCTCTTTGCCCTGCAATAAACAAGAGGTAGCAGGAAAGCATTGCGGTTGGCCGAGTGGAAGATCGTTTTTAGATTAAGGCTGATCGGTCTAATATGAACTGCCGATGTCCCGCAATTTGATGAAAAGTAAAAACATGGTTTATGCATCCTCCAGATCTGAAACCAGTTTTTTATTATATCACATTACGCACTTATTTGCATGTCACACTTCATTGGGTTTTCACAGGAATCAAATTCGATCATCTTCTCGTTTAACTTCAGAGAACAATGCTTCAACAAATCCTCCGCCAACTTCTTTCAGTCTATACTAGTGCGTTCCCTGTGAGTGAGGACAATCCACCGCCACAACTTATTCTAGTTCCTGGACCAGAAGATCCTGTAACGGCTCCTTCACACATTCTCCCTCGCCCCAGTCTTCCCATTGATCTAATTTCAGATAACCCAACCAACCCCACAAATCCCCATAAATGGCTTCGACTAGCTTCTAATCCATGCCGTATCCGCGTATACACGCGGGAGATTGTTGTATTTCGAGCCGAGTACACTCGTCTGCTTGTGCGTCACTGTGTTCACCTGCCTACGTTTTCGAATACCGGTGTCGAAGGGGAACCCACTCAGGTGTCCGAAAGTGACCAGAATCAGGTAAACGAATTTTCCTTTTTCTTTTCTCTTAGCTTTCACAATGGATAATATTCTCTGAGTTCAGCCAGTTTTCAAAAGTACTCACATTCAGGCATGCATGCTGCAAACCCTCAAATATTGTTTTTCTTCTAGAGGACTTTCTCCTACGCGAGTATAAATCAGTTTTGTGAGTGGTCAATCCATGCAATATCCTCCGTATACCATACATAGTGGCAGCACCAGCACCACTCTTCAAAGATGTAAGCCTAGTCATAAATCAAATGTTATTTGTAGAATAAAAGGGCAGTGTCTGATCGGATTCGCACACTTCATGATTTTCTGTGCAGAAATTTTCGGCTTCGTTGCAGAGATCGGAAGGTTTTCGTATAAATGTAAATTTGATTGATGTCATTTTTATGTTCAATTTCGTTTGCGACTTAATTGTGTAGGCATGCTTAGTTAATATCATCAACCAGGCAAGTTTTTTTTTCGTAGCTTTGATTTGAGTTCGTCGCTCAGTTCACAATATGAACGATCGCTGGGTTCGTGACATAGGTTACCAATTACGTTCCCCACGGATTAACATAGTGCAATTCAAAGATTAGATTTACACTCCACCACACTTCATCACAAGCAAAAACTATTCCGGCACGTTACCACCCCAGCAGTAAATCATGAAAGGATAACTTCCGGCCATACTATGGTGAATGTCAACGCATCTTCAGTTTCCACCTCGATAAAATCTTGTTTTTACCATAGTTTTTACCTTAGTCCCGACTTCTGCTGTACACTATAACTCAAGCTACTCCGGTTTCAGCTCATGGCTACAGAATGTGAGAGTGGTCTCAATAGTTTGCAGAATATTGATATCAGCTGGAAGAAATTTCGAGATCAGTCGTTATAAAATGTTATAAATTGCTTTTCCTTAGCGATACAATTTTGACCATTTATTCCTTTCGCTAGACAGAAGTGGCAACGGAAGCCGGCATTGTTTCTGTGAATGAAGAAAATAACCAACTCCAAAACAACACATTGCGCGAAGAGTTTCGTCCCAAGGTAGCACAGAGTACAACGGAACGACTTGGTGTTGGGTTGGCTCGGTGCTTAGCCAGTCAATCTCACCTTCTACCTCTTCTCGGACATATTGCTCCTGTTTACTGGGCTTGGGACCAAGCACTTAGCCTCAACCCTCTCCCCAATCTAGTAGTGGCTGTGGAACCGAATGCTCTAGCCGATTTGAATGCTGCGACAAACCACACACAGACGGGAAACTGTCTGTTTGTAAACCCTGGACAATTCGGATCCGTTATCGAATCCACCGGTGTTGATGTGGCGGACCGAAGGCGTTCTTTACGCACCGAGTATGCATTCAAGGTTTACTATCCTCTTACTGGTTTGATCGAAAACAGCTGTCTGCCAGAGTAACTGAAATGCCAACTCGATTCCAGCGGTATTTCCTTATGCATTTATTTTTTACCGTACATTTTTTATGCAAAATTCGCTTTTATACAAAATTCCATTTCACAGTGACTCTTAGACAGACTTGTTGATTCTGGTTTAGAATGGTAGAAGTGCGACTGAAAAACAGTCACGCAGCCTCCGTAACTGGATGTCTGGTAGAAAACAGGAAAATTAATGTAGGCAGATAGAGAAGTGTGCCATAGTGTTGAAAGCTGAAGCCGGACGAAGAACACAATGAATCTAGCACATGACGTAATGCGACGCACAGCAGTGATTGGTCGAAAACCAATCACACGCTAACCAACGACGTGAGTGATAGAATCCACATGAATTTCAGGTTAGTCAGAACACCACAACGATGACCCCAATGTACGGTCACACCACGCCAACAAGCAATGGGAGCCCTCTCCCAAAACTGGGCTCACTTTGCTCTGTTTACAAAACTGCCGGAACGAGTAGTTATCCGATCAGAACATCACACTCCAACGTCGCGGTAAAACATTTATGCGAGAAGGAAAAAAATTAGAAGGCGAAAATAAAACGTATACATATATATATACATATGCAGCTGCAGCAGTTGTGCGACTTGCTTTTCGGCTCGGTATGTAGCCAATTAATAGCCGTATTTCGCATTAAGAGCCGTCACACCGTCACCCTGTTGATCTGAAAATAAGGAGAAATAATTACGGAAGTAAAAAGAGACGGGTATGAATTTAGGATCCACGATTGCACGTTGCATTAAGGCTAGTGGTTTATACAGGGCGTAGACGTCAAGTGATTGTCAGTTTCTTGAGAATCAGAGACCCTTGTTTGTGGTTATTATAAGCACACAAATTGTAATATATATATATATATATATATGTTTGTGTGAACACTGGTCGCCAATTCACACCAGAGCTCAGGATAAGTAGTGATTGATTATTCAGAAATCGAACTCTGTGGAAATTAGGTAGATAGGCACAACTTGTGATTTTCCATGACGGCGAAATTTGACTCTGGTGCTTGTCGGATTGCATGGTCAACTGCATTTGAATAGTGGGAATACGAAAACCCGAATACAGGCATCACACGACAGAAATGACGCAATTGAGAGCATTGATGTCTACATGGACAATGAAAAATCGTACCTGATGGAGGCAGCCATGTCACATAATCGGGATCGGCAATCGCGTACACATCTGCTCGTTGATGAGAAGTCTGGAGTCAAGACAAGAAGAGACATGTATGCTTATGTGAAAACTGACAGACGAGGTGGACAAATTTGAAACGCCGTCTAAAAGAGCTCCTTAAAGTCTCATCTTGAAAAATCTACAATTGGTGAAACAGTTCAACTTCGTTTTATTCATGAATGAGTTAGATCATAATAAAGGGAAAACCATCAGTCCAACCATTGAAATGGAAGGGCATGTTTTCTTCATTTCTGTGCTAAACTTGATCTACCAAAAAGGGTTCCTAAACCAGTTTTTGGGAAATCGGATCAAGAAGCATACATTCACATAAACTAGCTTAGTATCGATATTCAGATCTCAAAATATCTAGTCTATTCTTAAATAACTTGGAGTTCAGTTTAAACAACCATTAAGCATGCATTTCCGTGAGTCACTTTTGGCTGCCCATTTGGGTGAACAATAGAAGGAAAACAAAATGGTTGAAATTAGGACCGAGGGGAAAATTGAGAAGTTCAGTGGACTAATGCAGCAGGGAAATTGAGATGCACGAACGCCACTGTTTACGATACTCAGCCACTACGACTATCCCGAGGTCCCCGACCAGGGAGCCTAACAGGACCTGTGTGATGCGTCCACCGAATGGGATATCACTACCCGAAAAACAAAACTTATCCACTTGCTCTATTACTTTCCTAGTTAGCGTGAAGTTGGGTGCTGGACTAACTCAGTCCTGTAGTAACAGTTCACAATTTGAAGGTGCAAAACGCATACCAAACCTAGATACACAAGCACCCAAACTATTTAGAGAAGATTGCAACCCAAGTGGATGTTCACTTAGCAGCACAATGTCGTCTACATACTCCAGATCAGACAGTCTGCCTCCTGACGGTAAATCGATACCGCTATCCTCGCACGAGGATAGGGCTGTTTCCATAATCAAATCTGTAACAAAGCCCTGACGAACACCATTTTCCGTGGTGAACTCGGGTGAAAAAACGTGTCGTGAGCTCGGCTTCGGCTCTGAGTATAGAGGGATCATAGTATTGAAATAAACTTCTCGGGCATACGGAAATATTACACATGATGACCCAGGCAATTTTAACGGGTTCAGATACAACACAGAAAATTGGAGGATGTGATTCCGAATAGCCAATCGAAGACGAAAAGTATCTACTGGAAACTGAAACAATTGATTATATTGGTAGGTTATGAAGTATTTGGATTCGAAAATTGATTGCACTCACTTTTCTGCGCTTATTCAGAATACCGGACTCGGAGGGACTAGCCATAGGAGGCACATTATGGGGACTGAGTGGATCTGAGCTGACCTCGGCGATAGGATGGTTTTCGTCTATGAATAAAGGGCGGCAAATTAAAATTGTTTGAAGACAAAACGTACAATTTGGAACAAACTGGGGATTTCTCAACTTGCTATTCGCGGGCCCACTACTTCGTCCAGGATGGCTCGTACTATTCTCAAGGCACCGAAAGAAGAACACTCCTCCATTAAACCATGACAGATAGCGCGAGGTTTAATTCTCAGTATGGAATTCATTACCGTTGAATAATAAAAATCGGCTACGGCAATGAGCGCCACTTCATGAGCTGTCAGTCAGGTAAAGGACTGCTAGTCACGGTCATCGAGTTTACGGATTTTTTCTATCGCCTTAGTCAGCACTTGCTTTACTGCGACTGGCACCTTGAAGAGCACTAATGGGCTCCGGAATGATTAGAGTTTCCTGTGAGAAATACCCTCAGCATCACTCGGCACAAATCTAGCTTCAGTATAACCAAGTGCGGACTGGAGGGAAGTTTAGTTTGTACAACCATTAACAATGCACCGGCTTTGGTTGCCGTCTTTCGGCTCATTCAGGAGTGGCTGTCTTCGTATGNNNCCACACCTCAGTTTTTATGGAGCCAGAGAGAGAGAGTTGAGTACATAATGGCGACTGAAGACGACAAGGATGCTCCCCAAAGGGGGCACGACAGTGCGCTCATTCAGAGGTGCCCCCGTAAACTAACAAAATTGATGCAAATCTCAACATCGCGAGTCGAATCTCGTGATCAATAGCTTTGCTGGAACCTTGTACGGTGGTAAAATCCACATTACCAAGGCTTCGAGTGGATCGCCGCATCAAGTGTCTGGACTGAGACTCTCAACTACCCTTGCTAGATAAACCACTCGTAACTAGGGCTTCCTTCTTCTACGGAAATCGTGTTTGTTGCCTGAAATTGTGTTAGATGTACTAGGTTTGGTGATCGTGAATTTTCAGTATTTGAACGGACAATTTTGTGGTACTTCTCAAGCTCCTTAGAGATGAACCACGGGGTGCACCAAATCGACAGTAAATAGTTATGCTCGGATTAAGTGGAAAGACGATAATTATTATTTGTGTTGAATGAGTTGTACGTTATTTTGCACTTGTCTGGGTTTACTGCGCACAAATTCAGATAGGAATCCAGTGCTGACTGTTTGTTGGCAAAACTGCCACGTTGTTCAAACTATGGTAGGTGGTGTATTGAGGCATTCACAAAGAGAACACTTGGCTCGCTGGACAGCGACGCGAAGTGTAGATACAATAGGTTCAAATTAGCATAAACGTAGGATACTGATGAGAGGGACTTACGTTTTTGAGGTTCATCAGTGGGAACATGGGGCAGGTGGATTGGATCAGTTAGACAGGAACCAGTATCACCGGATACTGGACATTCTCCTGGGTTCGCATTATTGTTAATTTCGGTAAATCGGGGTTTACGGGGCCGTTCAGTTTGTATACATTTACTTTGTAAACGATCGGAAGAAACAGTATCCGCGGTTCGCAGGGGTGGAAACTCTGCTGGTTGACTTGTTAGGTCAGATTTTTCCGATGATTCTTCTGGAAGTTTGTTTTCCAATGCTTTCTCGACTGTAGGTTCGTCATCACACTCATCGTCATCTTCTTCGGCAACAAATGGAACGTCAGGATTTACAGTGACCGAGCGATTACGATGTGCCTATCATAAACAGAGTAAAATATAAAGCTACAATGAAGATAAACAGAGTGGTTCGCATAAGCCAAAAACATTGAGTACAGCGTAACACTAACGCTTCATTGTTTTGCATTCACAAGTCCCGAAATAAATGAAAAACAAAAGATAGAAGAGCAGGATGAAGATTGGAATGCTGAAGGCAAATTCAAGCGGACGATAGTGAATTTATAGAGACCGATATTACAAGATTAATGAGTAGATGGATGAGCCCCACTGTTTGCGACATTCCGCCAGTGTCTGTAACCATCGGTGAGTATTTTCTCGGTGTCCCCAGCCAGGGAGCCAAACGGGACCCATGTGAGCCAGTCTCCTGGTTAGGGTTTTGATACACTCATGCCAAGCCTTTGAGTGGAAGTACGGACCGATAGGCATTCATTTTTTTAGGATATCACTTTTTTTATTTATTTCGGGGCTTGGGAATGCAAACCAATGTACCGGATGTGTTACATTTGAGGTAGTATCGCATGTTATGAGGCGACATTGAAGCTGTACGAGATGTGTAAAATGGTTTGACGATTCGGACACATCTTTTAAACCGTCTCCATTCAACATGCGACCGCGACATTCTTGTTTCTCAATCAAGCTTTGCAACATCAAAATTTGTAGAAAATAAATTGTTCCGATACTTTTTGATCTGACTTGACTTAGCGATTTAACCAAAGTTTCTGCGTCAGGGCTAAAGGATTGTGGATGGAGGCTGAAGCATCGCGGGTTTTGGTTGAAAGGTGTAGGTTGATAATGCATTGCAAGTGAATGCAACGCAACGCGAAATAAGCCAAGGCCAATGGCGGACACTCATTTCGAACATGCACCGTGAGCGAGTTCACACGATTGCAAAATGAGACGACATTAGAACGGTGATGAATTGAAAATGACAATGGAACTCAATTAAATTATATAACATGTAACAAGCGAACAAAATGAAGCAACACAAGAATACAAATGATCAAGGTCGGTAAATACATAGAACCAAAATCTCGAACTGAGTGCGATAAACCGAAAACAATTACGATTTTAGTTAGAAGCATAATACTTCTGAAACCAACCTCTAAATGTCCAGGAAGGCTCCTCTTAATCTCTGCCAATTTTCTTCGCGTATTAATCCGTCTAAAAAGGAAAGTAGTGCATTCATTATACAAAAGAAAGCAGCGACCTTTAGAAACATATGTGGAAGCAGAATGTATAGAATGACAAATAACGATTCACCAATACTATGAAGGGGAAGCCTTTTAANTTTAAAATATAAAGGGGGATTCCGGTAATGGCTGATCGGAATACATATGGTTATGCCTCCCCGAACCGCAGTGATAAAACAAATCATCGTAAGGTTAAGGACAACGATCGCCGTTGTTGACTTCGTATGACAGCTCACAATTTTGTGTATCGCTTTGGCAATTATGAGTTGCTTTTGCAGTATTCAACGACGAGTTAAAAACTTTAAATACCGTATACCGTTGACCAGAATGAATGTTTACTACGATATCTCAGCGCCACCAACAAAGCAGTTGCAGAGATTTTTGGATCTCAATCCAAANTTCACACCACGTCAGCCGTTGGGTTCCAGGCAAATCACTCTATCATAGAGCGGCAAATGATGCGAACCCCGTAAATAGTTCAAAAAAGAAAACGAATTAATCTAATTTTAGTTGCAAATACTAATAGTAATTAACGATTTCCCGGTATTGCAGCTAAACATTTTCAGTAATATTGCCATTTTTGTGAGCACGGAACATTGCGAGAATATTATCGACGACGGACTTGTGCGATAACTGATAATTGGTCTAAATGCCCACCGTCCGGTTTTAATTTTTAGGTTCCATAAGTATTTGTTCATACCTGACCACACACAAACTTACTGACTGATTGAATCGTTAACACCCTCGTTGTTCTCTTGATCATTAGCATCGAGTGAAGCTTCTAATTTGCGTCTAGCCGCGCGAACAGCTGCCG